TGTCTGAGACTTGGGTTGCTCATGCTTTTTCATATCCTTACTTACCTTGTTTTTTATATAATTAAGTGTCAATGAATACAAAAAAGACCGTGATATTTTTTTGAACATTTGGAAAACAGACAACAAATTGCTCGTGAAACTCAGAGGTTTACAAACCATCTTTACTGACCTCTGGTAGTCGAAAAAAAAATTAAAAACAATTCAGTATTTCTGTCTGTTTACTTGCCTTCATCGGTTCTTTTCTGACTATCTGTTGACTATTTTATAAAAAGACCGGTATGAATGAGTTTAAATTGCTATGAGTTTATTAAACACTGGTGGTTGGGTTTTTGATTGTTTTTCTGAAATTAATTTCCACTCGCAGGTTCGCAATTCTGTGCTTGCATAGTATCGCAAGTGATGCGTAGCCATGCTTAGCTTCTGTCTGTGTTGCCAAGAGCTGCGATGCTCCTCTGTCTTTTTATAAACAGTTTTTTTTGTTCCCAAAACAAATGTTGATTTTTTGAAATTTTTTATATCATTTTCTATTTACTAGTTTAGAAAGCTACGTTTTCGTTGGGTCGCAAGTGATGTAACATATCACTTCGTCGCGATTTCGAATAATTTCGAGGGTGGGACTAATCAACCACACCAGAACTATTCAAACAACTAAAAAGCATCATTGGCTCTATATAAAATTTCACACAATACATTCCTCTTCTGGCACAATTGCCGCCGCACTGCGCCCACTCTTAAAAATCACAAAAACACTTGAGTTGAAACCTGAATAACGTAGCATTCAACAACTTCCTAAAATTAGTTTAGACATAAGACAAAATAAAAATACTGATATCAGATTTTAGAAACCCGCGTGGTTTGCGATGCATCCAAATCAGGCTTAGGGGGAGTATTAGAGCAAATTTCCTAGGAAAGTTGGTGGGCAATAACTTATGCGTCACGTTTTATAAACTCCCTAGAAGGAAAGTACTCAGTAAACGAGATTGAAATACTTGGGCAATCGAACACTTCTAATATTACCTTCACGGAAAAAGTTTTACCGTCATCACAGACCACCAAGCGTCAACCAGCGCTTTGAACACAAACAAGAGATCAAAAACCAGCCAGAGTAGGCCAACAGGAAGGATTGACCATTTAATTCTCTTTAACTTCGACATAAAAAAAATAATTGGTGGAAAACAAAATGGGATTAATAGTCAAAATGCAAAAACACCCCCACAGCCTGAGGTGAAGGATGCTCGAGAGCTACTAACGAACCCGCCTTAGAACCAAGTGCTCTTCCCGAAAACTATTTACAGTGACGACAAACCCATCACCGAAAGACAAACACCGACGACACAAAACAAGAACTCAGCGCAATCTTGACAGACGGAGAAGTCCACGCTCCCAGCATCAACACAATTAAAACTCTCTTTAGAAAACCAGGAAACTTACAAGTACTGTGTTAGCCGCGTAGACCCAATACAGTGAAGCCAGGAACAATTGCTGCCAAACATTGAACCCCCTACTATGACAGCCACAGATCGAACACAAATAGAGGCCAGTCACGATTTGCTCATTGAGGGGCTGATTGAACAATCGAGCAGGGGAATAATACCAAAATGGAAGAAATCACGACATTTTTTATGGCAAAACTACAGAAAGTCCTTGGAGTAAAATTCATCGCCGCCGCAACAAGAAAGATCGAAACATGCAACCACTCCTCAATTTTGTTGAGGAACACGACTGGGAGGCAGTCAAGTCCTCTTACGGACAACACTGGTACAACATTTGGAACTTTCTGCTTGTGCGAGAGGACTGCCTACGGACTGATGAAAGAATAGTAATCCCGACCAAACAGTGTTAGACATCATCCACCTAACACATCCCGGATCAGCAGCTATGTTGGGTTTGTGCCAACATGTTTGGTTCCGCACATACACCGCTCCATTGTACAGATGGCGCAGAACCGCCGATATTAGGAAAACAACATTTTTTCCAAATGGATCCAGTGATAAAAACAAACGAGGAAGTCCAATTAGACTTTGCCGGCCCCTTCTCGATGAACTTCAGAAGGTTGCATACATATTGGTTGCAATAGATATTTGGTCAAAGTTTCCGACGGCCAAAGTCGTCTGAAACACAACAGCAGACCTTGGCATAAATTTTATCCAACGTTACCTTTCAAATAATGGGATGCCCCGAAGATTTAGATACGACCAAGCACAAATATTTAGGACCAAAAAGTTTCAACTTATCTGTAACACCGGTAACATAAAACTAAATTTTGCACTAGTAGACTAAAACAGCTTAATAGGGTTGATCAAAAGAATGATCCAAAATCTAAAATACAGTTTAGGGTAATTAGAATAGACAAAAACAACACTCCGTATTAATTAGCCTCAAACGTAGCCGGAATTATATAAACACTACGAATCACACCGTCCGGAGTAATTAAAGTCTCACCATTTAAAGCCAATATGGGGAGAAAGCCAAAAAATTAACTTTCAAACTTAGTAGGTCTGCCATTAATCTGAATTAGGTGAATGTAAAACACGCAAGTTTAGATCCGACGCCCAAAACAAATTTCAGACCTCCAGCCGGCGGAAACAAAAACCTTCACTAGTCAAGAACCCCAAACACCAGGCGTGGAAACCAGACGAGCAATAGCAAAAGATCAAAAAACAAATAGAATTATTAGCAAGGAAAAAAATAGGTATTGCAACAAAGGTGAAGGATCCAAAAACTTTCGAATAAAAATATAAAACCACTGACGGAAAAACTTTGACTTATCCACCACAGACCTCGTGTGTCGAAACATTCGCTAAGCAACCAAGACTGCTCAGAAATAGTGGATTCGTATTCTTACCTAACTCTTTGATATACGGGCTTTGCAGGCCCTCAAGACTAAGTGATTATGTTGCGTACAAATCTACCTGGAGATCGTGACTTTGCCTACGTTTCTTAGACATCGTAAAGCCAAACTCCCCACAACACCCGATTTTAAAAGAAAATACAACAACGGGTCTCACAAAAAGACTGACGCGAAACGAGAAGGCCGAGGACCACAGAGTAGCTCAGCGAAGAGACTGGCAAGACCCACAGGGAAAACAAGCAAAACCCCTGAGAAGACATCGTCCAGCGAAGAGGAAGAGCTGTCACCAACAACTTCATAAAACTCGGCGCCGTCAACGAAGAGGCTCATAAAAAACACCTAATCAGTGATCGCCCAACCGACCAGATAATCAGTCCGGAATCGCCAGTCAACACTGGCAAAGGCACTCGGGAACCCTGTACCAATCAACACAATTGAGAAAAAGACAGAAGGCCAGAAGAAAATTAAACAAAGTAGCATAAAATCGCCAACAAAAAAGACGCCGACAATCACAAAACCAAGTCTAAAAACCCTAATCCAGTAAAGGGGATTCGCACACAAATCAACGGAATTCCAGGAGTGCGTGAAACTTCTTGAGGCGATAAACCCAAAGTAAAAAAAACCAACGGAGATAATAGATATCATTTCCCCCTGTAGATAGCCCAAGCAAGGACACGGCTGAAGTACTTTTGATCAAAAGAAAGGACGAGAAAGAGGATAAGGCGACCGAGAAAGAAGAGACGACACATGAAGAACACGAGAAGCAAGTAGAAGACGACAATAACAACGAGGAGAGTATGACGAAACAACAGAGCAGAGCTGGCGAATGAAAACTCATGATGAGAAGAAAGAGAGAGGGAGAGAGAGAGAGAGAACCACCCGGGGACTATAAAATTCTATAAGACTATATAAATACCTACATCATCGCCCCTTTGTGATCTATTTACTGTACCAATTAATGGCAACCTTTCAGAGAGAATTTTCCTAGAAGATGATTTTTGGTGTCCAAGTTTCTGTTAGTGCTACTGCTACTGGCTTGTCGCGATATGTACAATGGGTTTCTAATTCATCAAAAAATGAGAAGTTGATCTCATGTTTTGAAGCATTCAGCAAGCATTCATTTTCAGACTGTTTGCTTCGAAAAAGCTCTGAAAACACAAAACATTAAATCAAGCCGAAAAAACTCACTTCAACTAAAAGTTCATTTCATTGTAACAATCAATTTTTCAATATATTGATTAACTTTCAGACTGGTCATGAATAGGTTTTTTATATTTAAATTTTTTCCAGTCGGTTCTAACCAATTACTAGTGGGTTTGTTTTTTATTGAACAATGATAACCTTAATCCTTTTTTGTTTAATTACCAGCTATTGTTTTTGACCTTTAAGCCGACAGTAACCAAAATTTTAAAATAAACATTTATTATTCGTGAGACTTGAAACATGACTCAATCCGTTTTTTATCTGAAGTAAAATTAGCATATTTTGAAAAACAAATTTTCGGACAGGAAAACTTCAAATTATGTGATATCTGTTTAATTTTTAGTTCATCTTCATAAGTGATCGTAAATACAATAAGAGGAAATAAATTAGAAAAATAATATTTTTTCGAGTCAGTTCTGAGTAGCCATAGGCTATGAAACGTATAAGTAAATTTACTTTAGAAGTAAGGTCGATGAGAACCCAAAAAATCAAGCGAAGTCGACCAGAGTTGGGCAACGTCGATTGGGGTTGAACAAAGCTATGACCAGGGTCGAACAAAGTTGACCAGGGTCGAACAAAGTTGACCAGGGTCAATCAATGTCAACATGTTCGATGATAATGAACACGATCGAACATTATGATCATATCATGTCCGAATGGCCATTTGTTTGACTCTCAAAGTTGAGAGAGCTCATCGTGGACCAATAAACGGTTGATACATAATTCGACCATCTCAAAAAAATTACCGAAGTAGAAAACTAGGTGAAGTCAAAAAACTAGATGCGCCAGTTGCATTTTTTTCATGTTCTTTCTATGACTTTGTCAGATTATGGTTACATGAAAAAACATGAAAACGCATCGAAACACATGAAAACATAATATATTTTTTGCTATTTTAGATAGCTCAAGTTTACAGCCAATATTTACACGACAACACGTGCGGCTTATTGGTTTCTTCACATAATTTTTAAAACTATGATTTATTAATATAACTATTCATATTAATTTGTATGAATTTTCAATGTCCAGATTTGAACTTAACTACAAATCTCAGTACGTGTTATATTCTACGATTTAAAAAAATACTCATCTGCTACTTGATTAAGTGCTGTTGGTTTTCCTGCTGTTGAATCTCGTGTCTTCGCTTCTGCAAGGTAATAAGAACGTCATACTCCATTAAATAATCAAAATCTACATTCATTGAACAATTTTTGCAGGTAATTTTAGCTACTTCATAACTCCGAATACATTTTCATTTATATGGGCGTTATTTATAAACACAAGAAACGCGCATGTTCTAATTTTGCGCAGGGGTCGATTTCGGATGAAGCATTAGTGGGTTTAGGGGAGTAAGAGGACGGACGCCTCGTTTATCATCGACTCGATCCCCTCACAGCTAAGAGGATCCATTTGGCACAATTGTTCTGAAGCCTATTTTTTTAGATGAACGACCATAAAAATTTTCTGCGGGAGCCTGTGGGGGGAGCCTCAACGCATTTTTTCCCGAAACTTTCCAAAGGTTATTTAAAATAGAGCTTAAATGTGTATCAGGATACCCCGAATAATCAATTTGTTCAATCTAAAATACGGTCGTCATTAATTTTTTTTTCTATCGAAAATCACCGCACCTCTAAAAAGTCCTAGAACCGCGCCTATTACAGCGTAAGCGGCAAATAAATCATTCAAAACCGAATTGATGCAGGCATTTTGTTTCCCGGATCGAGGTTTGTGATTTATGTTTCGATCGTGGCGGGTCGAGCACATGTCAGAGTTTGACCGAAAATCCACAGTCGAGAAGCCCCTATAGTCGAACTCAAAGTCGAAGCGTAGAGTCGAGTCGGTCGAAACATAAAGTCGAGTCGTTCGAAACAAAATGTCGAACACAAAATCGAAACATAAAGTCGAACACAAAGTCGAAATATAAAGTCGAACAATAAGTCCAAATACATACATACATACATATATACATACATACATACATACATACATACATACATACATACATACATACATACATACATACATACATACATACATACATACATACATACATACATACATACATACATACATACATACATACATGCATACATACATACATACATACATACATACAAATATATATACATACATACATACATACATACATACTTACATAGGTATACACATATATGCATACAATCAAAATTACATACATACATACATACATACTTACATCTAGTGTTACACACATATTTACATGCATACATACATACATACATACATACATACATACATACATACATACATACATACATACATACATACATACATACATACATACATACATACATACATACATAGATAGATACTTAAATAAAATCATTACTATATGAAAACACCCTTTAATACATATATTCATGTATGAAAACAGGCATGAGTTTAAACATACAAACAAATATTCATACATACATACATACATACATACATACATACATACATACATACATACATACATACATACATACATACATACATACATACATACATACATACATACATACATACATACATACATACATACATACATAGATAGATACTTAAATAAAATCATTACTATATGAAAACACCCTTTAATACATATATTCATGTATGAAAACAGGCATGAGTTTAAACATACAAACAAATATTCATACATACATACATACATACATAGATACATACATACATACATACAAACAAACATACATACATTCATTCATACACACATAGGTATACACATATATGCATACAATCAAAATTACATACATACATACATACATACTTACATCTAGTGTTACACACATATTTACATGCATACATACATACATACATACATACATACATACATACATACATACATACATACATACATACATACATACATACATACATACATACATACATACATACATACATACATAGATAGATACTTAAATAAAATCATTACTATATGAAAACACCCTTTAATACATATATTCATGTATGAAAACAGGCATGAGTTTAAACATACAAACAAATATTCATACATACATACATACATACATAGATACATACATACATACATACATACATACATACATACATACGTTGATACATACATACATACATACATTGATACATACATACAAACACTCACACATACGTACCTACATACATAATACATACATACCTACATACATACATATATACTTACGCACATACATGATTACATATATAGTTACATGCATACATAAATAGTAGATACTTGCATAAAAAACATGATTATATACAAACATCCTTTAATACATTCATACATAAATAAAAACAGGCATTCAATAATTCATACAGACAAAGATATTTGGTTTTCATACTCGTATAACCACTCGTTACACTAATATATTGAAGCTCATGTGAGGTTGGTGGGGGTAGGAAAAAGAGCCAAAAATACTCCGACTTGGCCGAAATGTTTTTTCTCGATCGAACTTGGTCAAAATATGTTCTTCATTGGTCAAACATACTCGAAAATTAGACTTGGGTCGAGGTGGTTAAAATATATCGAGCAATGTTTGAGATGGTCGAGTTATACCATTGTTTTGGTCGAGCTGGTCGAAATGTAAATTGCATTCATGATTCTTTTCCGTCGAAGAAAACTCCTCGGTCGAAAAAACTCCTCGGTCCAACTCGGTCGAAAGGTTTTTCCTTTTGCAATTTTGCGCAGGGGTCGATTTCGGAGGAAGCATTAGTAGGTTTAGGGGAGCAAGAGGGCGGACGCCTCGTTTATCAGCGACTCGATCCCTTTACAGCTAAGAGGATCCATTTGGCACAATTGTTCTACAGCCTATTTTTTGGATGAACCACCATAAAAATTTTCTGCGGGAGCCTGTGGGGGAGCCTCAACGCATTTTTCCCGAAACTTTCCAAAGGTTATTTAAAATAGAGCTTAAATGTGTATCAGGATACCCCGAATAATCAATTTGTTCAATCTAAAATACGGTCGTCATTAATTTTTTTTTTCTATCGAAAATCACCGCACCTCTAAAAAGTCCTAGAACCGCGCCTATTACAGCGTAAGCGGCAAATAAATCATTCAAAACCGAATTATTGCAGACATTTTGTTTCCCGGGTCGAGGCTTGTGATTTATGTTTCGATAGTGGCGATTCGAGCAAAAGTCAGAGTTTGACCAAAAATCCACAGTCGAGAAGGCCCTATAGTCGAACTCAAAGTGGAAGCGTAAAGTCGAACACAAAGTTCAAATATAAAGTCGAACGACAAGTATAAATACATAGATACATACATACATATATACATACATACATATATACATACATGCATACATACATACATACATACATACATACATACATACATACATACATACATACATACATACATACATACATACATACATACATACATACATACATACATACATAAATACATACATACATACATACATACACACATACAAACATACATACATACATACATACATACATACATACAAACATACATACATATGTTCATTAATACATACATACATACATACTTACATACAAACATACATACATATATTCATTCATACATACATAGGTATACACATATACTTTCAAAAATACATACATACATACATACATACATACATACATACATACATACATACATACATACTTACATCTAGTGTTACACACATATTTACAAGCATACATACATACATACATACATACATACATACATACATACATACATACATAGATAGTTACTTACATAAAAATATTATTAATGAAAACACCCTTTAATACATATATTCATGTATGAAAACAGGCATGAGTTTAAACATACATACACATATATATACATACATACATACATACAAACATACTTACACACATACATACATACATTTATACATACATAAAAACATTCATACATACGTACCTACATACATAAAACATACACAACTACATACATACATACATACTTACGCACATACATAATTACATATATAGTTACATGCATACATAAATAGATAAAAACATACATAGATACTTGCATAAAAACATAATTATATACAAACATCCTTTAATACATTCCTACATAAAGAAAAACAGGCATGCATTCAATAATACATACAGACAAACGTATTTGGTTTTCATACACGTATAACCACTTGTTACATTAATATTTTGAAGCTCGTGTGAGGTTGGGGGAGAGGAAAAAGAGCCGATAATACTCCGACTTGGTCGAAATGTTTTTTCTCGGTCGAACTTGGTCAAAATTTTCTTAATTGGTCAAACATACTGAAAAAATAGACAACTTGGGTCGAAATGGTTAAAATATATCGAACCTGGTTTGAGATGGTCGAATTATATCATTGTTTTGGTCGAGCTGGTCGAAATGTAAATTGCAACCATGATTCTTTTCCGTCTAAAAAAACTCCACGGTCGAAAAAACTCCTCGGTCCAAAGGTTTTTTTTTGCAGTTTTGCGCAGGGGTCGATTTCGGAGGAAGCATTAGTGGGTTTAGGGGAGGAAGAGGGCGGACGTCTCGTTCATCAGCGACTGGATCCCATCTCAGCTAAGAGGATCCATTTGGCACGATTGTTCTACAGCCTATTTTTCAGATGAACAACCATAAAAATTTTCTGCGGGAGCCTGTGGGGGAGCCTTCCCCCACAGGCTCCCCCACAGGCTTCCCCCAAAGGCTCAAATAACCTTTGGAAGGTTTTCCCGAAACCTTCCAAAGGTTATTTGAAATAGGAGCTTAAATGTGTATCAGGATACCTCGAATAATCAATTTGTTCAATCTAGAAAACGGTCGTCATTAATTTTTTTTCTATCGAAAATCACCGCACCTCTAAAAAGTCCTAGAACCGCGCCTATTACAGCGTAAGCGGCAAATAAATCATTCAAAACCGAATTGATGCAGGCATTTTGTTTCCCGGATCGAGGTTTGTGATTTATGTTTCGATCGTGGCTGGTCGAGCACATGTCAGAGTTTGACCGAAAATCCACAGTCGAGAAGGCCCTATAGTCGAACTCAAAGTCGAAGCGTAAAGTCGAGTCGGTCGAAACTTAAAGTCGAGTCGTTCGAAACAAAAAGTCAAAACACAGAGTCGAAACACAAAGTCGAAAACAAAGTCGAAATACAAAGTCGAACTACAAGTAGAAATACATAGATACATACCTACATATATACCTACATACATATATACATGCACACATACTTACATACATACATACATACATACAAACATACATACATACATACATACATACATACATACATACAAACATACATACATACAAACATACATATATATATTCATTCATACATACATAGGTATACACATATATGCATACATACAAAATTATATACATACATACATACTTACACACATACATACTTATATCTAGTGTTACACACAAATTTACATGCATACATACATACATACATACATACATACATACATACATACATACATAGATAGATACTTACATAAAAACATTATTATTTGAAAACACCCTTTAACACATATATTCATGTATGAAAACAGGCATGAGTTTAAACATACATACATATATACATACATACATACATACCTACATACATACATACATACATACATACATACATACACACATACATACATACATACATACAAACATACATACATACATACATACATACATACATACATACATACATACATACATACATACATACCTACATACATACATACATACATACTTATGCACATACATAATTACATATATAGTTACATGCATGCATACATAGATAAAAACATACATAGATACTTGCATAAAAACATAATTTTATACAAACATCCTTTAATAGATTCATACATAAATAAAAACCGGCATTCATTCAATAATACATACATACATACATACATACATACATACATACATACATATATACATACATACATACACACACAAACTCACAAAAATATTTACTTACATGCATACGTACACTAAAATTTTAATACCAAAATCTTTAAATCCATATCTATTTTTGCTTATATATTCTTTTGCTTATATTATTATACAGTCAAAATACTTTTCGAAAAAACTCTGCGTCAAACGCAGTCGAAATGTTTTTTTTTCGGTCTTAAAAACTCCTCGGTCGGACTCGGTTGAAACGTTTTTCCTCGGTCGAACACACTCAAAATAAATTTTTTTAGGTCAAAATTCTTCTCGGGCGAAATTACGGCTCTTTTTCCTCCCCACCTGCAAAATTTTACAGGTGAGTTTGTTGACCACGTTGTCCAATTGTTATGAAAGTTTGCATACAACTAATAAGGCGACGACAAACGTATTTGGTTTTCATACTGGTATAACCACTCGTTACACTAATATATTGAAGCTCGTGTGAGGTTGGGGGGGGGGGGGGGGGGGCGGGGGAGGAAAAAGAGCCGAAAATACTCCAACTTGGCGAAATATTTTTTCTCGGTCGAACTTGGTCAAAATGTTCTTCATCGGTCAAACATACTCAAAAAATAGACAACTTGGGTCGATGTGGTTAAAATATATCGAGCCTGGTTTAAGATGGTCGAATTATACCATTGTTTTGGTCGAGCTGGTTGAGACATAAATTGCAACCATGATTCTTTTCCGTCGAAAAAACTCCTCAGCCCAACTCGGTCGAAACGTTTTTCCTTGGTCTAACTTAGTCGAAATGTTTTTTCTTGGTCGAACATGGTCGAAATGTTCTTCATCGGTCGAATATAGTAAAAAAATAGACAGCTTGGTTCGAATCGGTTAAAACATATAGAGCCTGGGTCGAGACGGTCGAAACATAAATCGCAAACGTCGACCAGGGTTTCAATGATAGGTGACCGAAACTTTTTATCGGGACGTTAAATGGTAGTTGCAGTGTTTAGGGCCTGGTAAGGAATCTAGCAGTCTTGTTGTTCCGACTTTCGAAGAAAGCGAAAAACATTGAAGCTAGAGGTAGTTTTTTTTAATCTAACGAATTTAATATTTGGATAAATAGATTGAGGTTTTATCCTTATTTTTTGCAAATAATCCGTATTTTCAAAACAAATTGAAACTCTGGACCGCTAAAAAATCGATTTAGGTAGACATACTTATTTTTGCAGCTCTCCCATTTCTTGTTAGACCGAAAAGTACTTGTACTATAGGACGAATTTCAAAATTAAGTGAAAACGAGCATTTGGTCCTTGCGAATCAACATCTCGTTATTGAGGCGCTTGTCAAAAAATTCCAGTTATGAAAATTTCATAAACTTTTCGACTCCCCCCCCCCCCCCCCCCTGCCTCAGGCGCGCCGAAAAAACGCAATTTTTTGGTCAAAATTTCCAAAAAGTGTCGAAAATCTTTTTTTGGCCTCTTTTTTCAAAATTTCGCACGCGGCGCAGAAAATTTGGCGAACATAGGGTGTTTATAGTGATTTGTGAGAGCTCGGAAGACCAGTTTGATCGACCTAAAAAAAAGAAAAGGTCGATAAAGTTTCGAAAATTTTTTGAAAATGCAACATTCCCCCCCCCCCGCCCCCCCCCCCACTGTCGTCGAGAAAATCCTCGTTCCGCCCCCCTCCTCTAGAAAATCCTAGATCCCCCTGAACTCTCAACAAACCAATTAGTTATGGATGTGATTTCATTTCAGTAGGGCAAACACCACACAATGGAATTTCCTTTATGCGTGGCTCAACTAAAGAGAACGGGCCCGAAGTTATTAATCGTAGTATCATTGTGTTCAGTTTTCATTTGGTTCCAGAGCACCCGGCAATATTCATCTGGCGGGACAAAATTGAAAACAGCGTCAGCTCCTCTCGCATTTTCTGAAAATCACAATATTCACCCAATTGTTCAAAAAGATATTTCGTCGAACTCGACAGCCGCCAATTTTTTTCAACTACTAGCAAGCATTGATCGTAAAAAGGAATCCCCCACTTCGCTCATTGAATTATTCGTACCTTATCTGATCAAAGAACCCGTTGAACCTATAGACGAGTCGTGCAATCCCGAACCATTACCCCATGTTAGTGACAATCTTTGTGTCGGCGACTTCAACAAAAACGCGTTTACGGGTAAACTGCGTGAAAAGCCTGTTAAAACAATAGTGCATTCTGTTAAATTCAGCTTCGAAGTTGATGTGCTAGAAATACACCTAAACGAGCTATATGACGTGGTAGACTACTTCTTTATTGTCGAATCAGTGAACGCGCATGCTGACAGCAGCCCAAAGCCTCTTTTGTGGGAGTTCGTAAAAAATCAGCCAAGGTTCAAAAAGTTTGAGAAAAAAATTGTGAGGTAAGCGTTTTAGATTGCAATAGCAAAAGATAATATTTTAAGACTCTTAATTGAGACTTTCAAATTAAAATCTAGAAAAGAGCTCAAAAATCCAGGGCAATTATTGAATCGCCCAATTTTAGAGACCAAAAAGCTTGCACAAAAGAGGAAATTGAAGTGAAGAGTTTTTGGCGAGTGTAGCCAATTTTCGAAAAATTGGCTCCTCTTGTTAATTTCAAGGGTAAAGTTAAGTGAGGGGGGATGCTTTCTTGCCAAGATATGTGCCTGCCAACCAGGTAAAGGAGCCCTCTGTTGGTACTATTTAAGGAAATCTTATTTTACCATCAGGCCTGAATTGTTTCTCAAAGAACCCATAAAAGTTTTTTGATGAAAACTTTCCAAAAATGGCTGAAAGCGGAGTTATCTGCACCCTCTGGGAAAAGTTTAGATCCAC